CTGTGGGACTTTTACAAAAATCTACCCAAAAGGCTTTGCTAATGTGCTCCCGGATTCATCAACCTGACGATGTATATATTATATATATATATATATATATATATATATATATATATATATATATATATATATTGTATTAACGTAATATCTGCTCTAGCAGCTCTGTGTTATCATTATTATGTTCAATTACAAAGGGGGTAAATCATATGCTTACTTGTGAAAAACGAGGTATGTCAAATAAATATCGCTTTAAATATATTTTGTTTTAAAAATACACAACAAAAAAATGTTAATCCGTTTAGTAAAAGTACATGTAAAAAAAGTAGATTATGATTCTAAACTATTCTAGTCCTGGATTCTAGTCCTAAAGACTAGCACAACAACTACAGGAATCACACAGATCAACGACGGATGAATACGAACATATAAAAAACTGCATGAAAGACGCAGCGCTAGAAGCCTTAGGGCCACAGATACGGAAAGTAGATAAACCATATTGGTGGGATAAAGAAGTGGAAGAAAAGATAAAAAGAAAGAAGGAAGTATATCAAAAGTTATTACAACAGGGAGAAAATAAACAAAACAACAATATAAAAACTTGAATAAAGAAGTCAAACGAGAAGTGGTTAAAAAGAAAAATAGTGCATGGGAACAAAAATGCCAATACCTAGACAACTATATAGGAGGGACAAAGAGCTCTGAAGCCTGGGGAACCATAAAAACGATGAGTACAGACAAAAATGAGACAAAAAACCAAGTCATAATAAATAGAATACCAGAGAACACATGGAGAATACAGAGCATTTTGAGAACTTATTAACAGAGAAAAGAGAAAGGTTTAAACTGACAAATGAAACAAGTGGAAATAGAAGGAAGAATAGAAATATCAATAGAACAAGTGAAAGAAGCAGTTAAGGGAATGAAATTAAGAAAATCTGCAGGCCCAGGCGGAATACATCCAGAGTTGATTAGGTATGGATCATCAAAACTGTTTAAAATGATCCAAAAATTATTCGAAAAATGCTTAATCGGAGAAATTCCAGAAAAATGGAGACAATCGTATATCTCTCCAATACACAAGAAAGGCACAAAGACGGATCCTAAAAACTATAGAGGGATAACAGTGATTACTACTATAGGCCGACTATACTCAAAAGTACTACGAAACCTGACAGAAAATGATATTAAAGACAAACAACTCGAAGAACAAGTGGAATTTAGGACCGGACGCTCCACTATGGATAATACTTTCACATTAAAAATTGCAATGGAAAAACGAGTGCAGAGAAATAGAGAAACCCATATAGCTTTAATAGATTTGAAAAAAGCATATGACAGTGTGCCGATCTTCCAACTATGGATAGAAATGGGTAAATTGAAAATAAACCCAATTGTTATTAACGCCACTAAAAAGATTACGAACAAAACTTTGCAAGAATTAAAATTAGACAGGCTGCTGCCTGTCTCATTTTAATTTATATACACGCTATATAAACTTTTCTTTGCGGATGACAAGGTAGTAATTGCTGAAGATAGCTACGATCTTAGGTATATGGTAATAAAACTGCAAGAAGAATATGAGGTGGCAGGTATAAGGAATATATACTACATTTGGTATATATAAGACCACCATATAACAAGCTAGGATACTGATTGTTGAATAGCTAAGAAAAATGAAAAAAAGTAAATATATGTTGCAGATATCAGAATGTTTAGATAAGGAGTTAAGTGACAACAAAGAATAATATAAGGAATTAAGTTTTTACAAGAAGTGCCACCCGAATTAGTGCCAAAATAAGAGAGAATATATTAAGACTGTTGGGCTAAGTTCAATGTCAAAACGATAATTACCCAATACATAATCGTTGTGTCGCAAATTGAGTGGAAAAAAATACTAACGATGATTTGGTGGGAAATATTTAGGAAATACATAGTTATGAATAAGAATAATATTGGCATAATACAAGAGAGTAATTTATGGAGAAATGTTATTAGTAGAGGAGAAGGTGGTAATATGGCCCCTGCATATTTTATGGCCCCCCTCCGTATTTTAATAACAAAGTGCTAAAATCTAGTGGAGAACGCTGGAACTAGTTCACTAGTATACCAACTGGCCGGTAATAGCGCTGTGAGCCATTAAGTGCAGTCACTCAGTAATTGTGCAGTAGTTTGTGTTTTGGTCAATCTTCAAAACTTTGAAAGGTATGTAAATTTCTTGATTTTAACTTACCATAACTAATAATAACTTAGTTCTAAGTATCGTGCATATGAATTAGAGGTTATTACCTACAGTTTAACACAGACTAGAATGTTCTAAGTCTTTTACATTTTATCTTGTAACCACGTGTTTTAAACTTGGAGATGTGTGTATTATGGCCCCCCTAGGTAATGGTAATATGGACCCCGGGGTCCATATTATAAGCAGTTTCAATATTTGTGGTTTTTTTATTTTTCAGATGCCTAGAATCAGCTTAACACCTAAACCAGCCAGAAAAAGGCAAATTTGGGACAAGGACAAAATGAAAGAAGCAGTAGCAGCTGTCACTAAAAAGAAAATGGGCGTCAAAAAGGCTTCTAAACATTTTGATGTGCCTAAGACCACTTTAAGAAGATATGTTAAAGAGGCAAGTACATCTGAAGCCACTGAAGTTCACACAAAAAAGCTAGGTAGGAAACCAGCTATACCTGAAGAACTGGAAAATGAACTAGTGGAGTACCTGAAGTATATGGAGGCAAAATTTTACGGGTTCACTCGCTTGGATGTTCGTCGAATGGCTTACCAACTAGCAATTAGAAATGGGATTCAAACCAACTTTAGAAACGAAATTGCTGGCAGGGCTTAGTTGGACCATTTCCTTAGACGACACAAAGACAAGTTGTCAATCCGAAAGCCAACTGGAACATCATATGCTCGTGCAAAAGGTTTTACTCGTGAAAGTGTTAATGCCTTTTATGACTTGCTGGAGTCCGAATATTCAAAACACAAATACCCAGGTGACCGTATTTGGAATGTGGATGAAACGGGCCTGAGTGTAGTTCAGACAAAAATACCACAAGTTATTGCCAGTAAAGGTAAACGCCAAATATGTTCTCTAACTGCGGCAGAAGGTGGATGTTTGGTCACAGTCATATGTTCAATGAGTGCAGGAGGATCTTATGTCCCTCCGATGTTGATTTTCCCAAGGATAAACATGTCTGATCTCCTTATGAAAGGAGCTCCTCCTGGGTCAATTGGAAGAGCTCACCCGTCTCGGTGGGTTCAATCAAATCTGTTTAGAGACTGGTTAGCTCATTTTATTAAAAAAAAAATCCAACAGAGACCTCGCCCATACTACTTATCCTTGACGGTCACTTTTCGCACACAAGAAACATTGATGTGATCGATTTGGCAAGGAAAAATTACATCACGATATTGTCCTTACCATCCCACACAACACATAAATTGCAACCACTAGACCGAACTTTTATGGGAGCTTTAAAGACTTACTACAGTGAAAATATCCGACAGTGGATGCTTCATGAAAGTAGAAATGTTGGGCCTTACGATATTGCATCCTTTTTGGGAAAGGCGTACCTCCGATGTACCACATGAGTAAACGCTGTAAATGGATTCTGGGTCACAGGTATTTACCCCCTGGAAAGAAATATTTTTCAAGACCATGAATTCATTGCAGGGGAGGAGGAGGCACCAAACGAAAATCAGGCTGAGAACACTGATAACCGACTGCATGACACTCCTGCAGTTGAAGTCAATCCTCATCCACCAACAACCTTCGCTGTGTCTCCTAAAGACATTCACCCCGTTCCAGAAAAAAAGAAAAAATCAAACCGTGGACGAAAACCCTGCATCGCAAACGTCATTACTAGTTCTCCTTATAAAAGAGAGCTAGAAGATTTTCTGGCAAAAAAAGAAGCTGCTGCAAGTCGTCGTGGTCGTGGCCGTGGCAATGGGAAAGGCACTGGAAGAGGTGCTTCAACAAGTGTCACTCGAAGTTTGACGTTTGTTAACCCCATACCATCTTGTCCCGGACCTCAAACTAGCGCTGTGACGTTTGATAACCCCATACCGTCTTGTTCTGGGCCTCAAGCTAGCCCTAAAGGACAAGCAGCCAAGTCTGACTGTACCCCACGTGCCAACGCTGGAAAATCAAAGAAGAACAACCCTAAACACAAACGTCCAGCTGACAGCAGTGATGACGACGATGATGATGATGACGGGATGCAGCTCTCCACTTGCTCCGGTGAATCACCTTTTGATCTATCAGTTGGAGAGCCTCAACCAAACCAAGATGACGCATGTGTTCACTGTGGGCACATAACGAATGTGCAGGGGCAGAGAAGGATGAGTACGTCTGCGATTTCTGTCGTTGTTCGTCCATTATTACCATGTAGGACATTTTAATTTTGTAGACTAGACTAGATCTACCTATACATACATATTATGCTGTATCTACTTATATACACTCTATCTACTTATGTATAATAAAAAGGTTTTTTGTTCAATGCAGTTATAATTTTCAGAATTTGCCAATATTTCCTTAAATTAATAAGGGGGTCCATATTACAAACACCATGGGGGCCATATTAACTGCACATCCCGTTTTCTGATGAATGTGTCAACTTTAAAAAAATTATTTAAAAAAAATGTAAAATGAAGTCTTAAACCGCTTTAACTATTACAATGTGTTTGGTAACTAACACCATATCGTAACTAAGCTAACAATCTCTGTTTTTTATTAATAATATCAATTTTACAATAAAAAATCAAAATGGGGGTCCATATTACCACCTTCTCCTCTAATAGTGATCATGCAGAGGGATAAAGATAAAAATAATAAAATAACCAAAAATATAAAAAAGTCAAACTACTTCTAATAATTTGAGGATTGTTCTAAGCTATAACTCAACAAAAGGAGCTAGAATAAAAGTGTTAAATATTATTGTCAATCTACTACTTAAAAATAAAACTAAAAAGCAGTGAATTAGTAATTGTTACTTACAGCTCCAGAAGCTAAGAAATTATGGAGAAATCTAGCAGAAGTAAGGTCATGGCTTTTAAAAAATATATAAAATATAAATCCACAAGTAACTGCCAAAACCTGATGAAAGATGGTATTAGACAACCAGTAGAATCTCTGGCGAATTTTCACTTCTGATTTTTCAGTCATTTTGATTCAGTAAGACCAAACTCAAAAACGTATTCTTCAGTGCCACAAAACTATCATGTGTAAGCTGCTAATTTAGCTTTTATATAAATTTGATATCGAAATCAGTTTTAAAGTACATTTTAACTTTAATCTAAATCCGATTAGGATCTATATTGTAGAATACTTTATCTGTACGTTCATAAGTATTTTACACTTATGGAAGTCTACAATGCAGATATACAAATTTTTTTCTTTGATCTTAAAAATTCGGTAAGTTTTTATTACCCAGCCAATTACTTCCTATATAAATAAGTGGGAAAGATAAAAACTCATTGCATTGGAGGGAATAAATTTTTATGCAAAAATAATTCTTGCCACTTTATTCTCGTATTGAGCGTTTCAACCCACTAACAATTTTTGAATAGGAGGAGGGGTCAAATTATCCATAATTTGGTAACGGTTTTCAATATTTAAACAACATATGTTATTCATTCTTCTTCTTCTTGTATGTAAACTTTAAAGCCTGTTTCTTCTTCAATATTAGCCTAATGGATTGTTTAAATTATCGCCCATCTTTTTCTTGATCTGCCAATACTTCTTCGTCCATTTGGTGACTTATCTCGTACTAATCGTACTATTCTATCCTCTGCCATTCTACTAATGTTCCACTCCTGCCGTTACACTCCTGTTTCCGTTTGATCACCCATCCATTTATGTCTTCTATATTGCATGCTCTTCTTATACTTTCGCTTCTCTCCCTATCCAACATACTTTTTCCTGATATTCGTCGGAGTATTGTCATCTCTGTTGTTTCTAGTAGTTATCTCGTTTTGGATGTGTCAGGTTTTGTCTCCGCCGTGTATGTTAATATAGATCTAATTGCTGCTTTATAAATTCTTGTTTTTGTGTTTTGTCTTAAATTCTCGTGTTTGTTCTTCCAGATTGTGTCATTAAGATGTCCCGCCGCTTTACTTGGTTTTAAGCTTTGTAGAAGTGCACTTCTTCTTCAACATCTTTGTAACCAGGTATATCTGTACCCAGATATTTAAACCATACTTCCTGCTTTATTCGATCTCGGCGATTAATTCGTCATCGTCTGCATAACATAATATTTGGATTTCTTTTTTATTCGTAGAATGCCTCTCGTTTCTCCTTATGTTTGCAGTCTTCGGGTCTATAGATAGATAGGACATTTAATGTTTGTTAGTCCATTGTGATGTTCATATCTATTATTACCTAGTAGGACAAGTATACTTTCACTTGCTCGTGCTCGTTTTTCTTTCGTTACTCCACTGTATGCTAGAAAATATTGGTTATAGTCTCTTTGGCCTTTACCTTTCTTCTGGGATTCTTGGATTGTACAAATATCTATGTTTTTATTTATTAGTTCTTCTATTATCGCTTGGTCTTTGTTGTTGAAAGAAGTAATGTTCCATGTTGCTAATCTAATTATGGGCTTATTTTTCCTGCTTGTTTTCCTGTTCTTTGCGTGCTTCATCATCTTAGGTTCCATCTGGTTCCGAGACTTTATATCGATTCCTTGAGCCTTGTTTTCTTTGACAATGGGTAGGATGCTAACCTAACCCATCAACACTCTTTTTCTATCCGGGCTTGGGACCGGCTGTGGGCATGAACGCGCCTTCTGAGCTACTCAATTCACCCAGTCCTCGCGCTCATAACCCCTAGGCAGAATTATATATATATATATATATATATATATATATATATATATATATATATATATATATATTAAATTAAATCAATTAGTGACCGATAACTCGCGTTCTATTACGTTTAATCATACAAAAATTTTCTATGATTAACTAGCGGACATGTTAGTCCACTAGATAGTGATATTCCATTAGATAAATAAGGAATAATAGAAGGATATTTTAACGCACATGTAGGTTAAGTTCAAGAATAAAAATAAAAAAGGCAAGAAAACTATATAAAGCGTAGCAAGAAAATAGATTGGACATAGATCTTTATCCAGGAGTTGACTGTTGTATACTATATTAGTTGAAAAACTCGAACATCGAACTAAAAACTTCTATTGTAAGTGGTATATTTAATTAAAAAATTAAATAAAAAATCTAAGTGGATTAAAAAGTCGGACAAATCAGTCCATGTTTAATGAACTTTGGAATACTTTTATAGATTTCCGTAAAACCAAACAGTGATTTGGTTTACCATAATGAAAACATACTTAAAAGTATTCAATTATACGGCAATATGCCGATCTAATTGGATTATTAACCAGGAACATAAGTCCCTACTCGAAATTAAATATTTCTACATTCGTACTGTCGAACGGGTTTTGTCGAAAGAAACAATGACACTTACCTTATATGATCTTTCAGGAAATTTGTAAAAATTTCTTAGTTATTAACTTAAATAAAGGAAGATTGTTGAAGAAATTAAAAATGTACATACTAATTTAATAAACACGCAAGAAAATAGAGGTATATAGACCATCCAAAAACGGTGCAGTACTTCACTGACACTGGGTGTAATATGTTGAAAAAATAAAAATAACAAGTGTTTTTTGCATCCACGACTATTAGAAAGTATTCAGCTTTGCAACTTTATTTACTGTCGCAGAATATAAAAAAGAATAAAGACTTACAGTGAGTTATACTGTCATCACAATTGAAAGTGTTTCATACTACACTAACTTTATTCTTTATTTCTTGTTTTATCTTTCTTGCGTGTTCTACTACATACTTTTATTTATTTCATACTTTTTATTTATTGCATACTATTACTAACTATACTGCCAGATACTTCTGGCAAATTGTTTCTCTATCATAGTAGTAAAACGCTTCTGTCTCGAACCACTTCGTGGGTCGAACCACTTTTCTCGCTCCCCAGACGAACAGTGTCTTTGGAAAATTTCCATCACGGTAGAACCGCACGAAGATACTTCGCGTTACCACGCGACAAGAGGTCTCGAGAATTATTTTTTTAACCCATCGAATGGACCTGCCAATCGCTGGCCCATATTGATTCAAACCTCAGTTACTATTTTAAAATTGCCATTGGCGAAACAAAGGAAAACGAACTAAAAAGAGATACAGCGATTGCGTTTTACTCGAGGCAAATTATTTGTGTAAATAAACATTGGGAGTATGTTTTCTCGTTCGAGATTCTAAAACGCAAAACACTAAGTGCTTATAGTCACTTATAAGATTTTTATGATATACAAAGTGAAAAAAACTGCTACAATATAAAGAATCAAATACACAGTATAACTAACATTGATGAAGAGTTAAATTGTGTAAATTGATGTATAAAAGTAGGGGGGGAAATATCTAACTAAAGAACGTAAGAAAAAGTGTGAATGAAACAAGAGGTATTAAAATTGGTGGACCAAAGGCAAAAAGTAAAAATATATCCGGCAAAGTACAGAGAATTAGACAGAAACATGAAAAGAAGAATAACATTCAAACGGTGAATAATTACAAATACTTGGGAGCTGTAATAAACCAGTTAAGTAATCAAAATATCGAAATCAAAATAAAGTAATGAAATTGATAGGTATGGCGGAATGACGGTGTTAACGAACAGGGTCTGTGGAGAAGGCGATATAATTTCAAACTCCATAGACTTTTTAGTGATGCAGATATTGTAAAAACCATCAAAATAAACCGCCTAAGATGGGTATGCCATATTATGCCCATATTAAGCAATCTTTCTAAAACAATCATGCTAAATAGGTCGGTTTGTATTTTAGAGTTTGCTAAAAAGGGAGACTAGAATAAGGGGATGGAGAAGACAGACACTTGACATGGAAGGATAGAAGAATGTTTTGAGGTAGACCAGGGCTCACTAAGAGCTGTAGCGCCAACTCATGATAATCGTCAAAAGAAACAACTCTTGAAAAATCTTCCTTATACAGCTAAGAAATAAGAATCATCATCATCATCAGTGGTGCTACAGCTCTAGTTGAGCCTTGACCTTCCCCAGTCTATTTCGCCAGTCGTTTCTGTTCATCGCCAACCGTTGCCAATTTGCCGCGCCGATTTTCCTTGCGTCCTCGTCCACACCGTCCCTCCATCTCAGTCGTGGTCTGCCTCTACTCCTATTTCCCACTGGGACCGATAATAGAGTTCGTCTGGGTGGGTAATTCTCATTTGCTCTTGACACATGTCCAGCCCATCTAAGCCTGCCTATTTTTATGAAGGATATTACATCTCTACCATTTACTATTTTTTTATATTTCTCGTACAATTCGAAATTATATCGCCTTCTCCAAATACCATTCTCACAGAATGCGCCCATTATTCTTCTTAGTATCTTTCTTTCGAAGACGAGCAGAAGATTTGCGTCTGTTTTGGAGATGGTCCATGTTTCTGACCCATATGTCAGCACTGGTAGGATGAGTGTTCGATATATTATTAGTTTGGTTTTCTGGCTTAAGTTTCTGTTTTTTAGCTGCTTGCTTAGTCCAAAATAACATTTGTTTGCTAGCAGTACCCTCCGTTTAACTTCTTCAGATGTGTCATTATCGTTTGTTATGAGAGAACCCAAATATGTAAACTTATTTACTACCTCAAAATTATATTGGTCTATACTGAAGTTTTGTTCGGCGTTTCTAGCTCTATCTCTGTTATTTGGAATAGATGCTAGCATTTTGGTTTTTTCCTCGTTTATTTTAAGGCCCATATTTTGTGCGGCTGTCAAGAAGGTGGAAGTCATCTCTTTAAGTCCTCGTGTAGTACGTGCAATCAAATCCAAATCGTCAGCGTACGCCATAATCTGCGTTGATTTATTAAAGATTGTTCCCCTATTGTGTAACTCGGCATCTCTTATAGTCTTTTCTAACGCTATATTAAAGAGAAGGCACGCCAGCGCGTCTCCCTGCCGTAACCCTGCATATGTTTCAAACGCTTGTGACATATCGCCTTGTATTTGCACTCTGCAGATCACTTTACTCATAGTTGTTTTTACGAGCCTTATTAATTTATGGGGAATGTTAAGTTCATTCATGGCTTCGTATAGTTTACCTCTTAGGACGCTATCATACGCTGACTTAAAGTCCACAAAGAGATGGAACGTGTCAATATTAAATTCATT